GAGCCAATGCAACTAAACAAATATGTCTAAATAATCCAGGCTTTCAAGATGCCGTGTACGACTTCTGAACAAAGCGTAGTAAAATCAACTTAAGTGCTCACAAGACGCAATCGAAACCAAAATACAGCAGGTAAATCCATAAGAGGTTTCACAACTTGCAGTTTACCAAATTTACCGTTCCGAAGCCCTATGTAGACGAAAACTCTAGCTAGTGAAGTGGTTGTGCAGCTATATTTTTTGTTGCACTTGGCGAAAAAAGTGTTATTTAATGATATTCATAATCTTTATTTCGGCGAAATGTACATGGGTTAAAAACCCCACGATGATGGTATAAGTTACTTTCCTCTCGGATCATGATTTCTACGGTCTGAAAACACACGCTGGAAGGTGGTTGATGTAAAACGCGTACGTAATGATCGACCTCAGATGCAAGCTTACAAACCAGCTTTTAAGTAGAAGCAGTGTATGATATTACAGCATCTTCATCGTACACAGAGGTGTACTGGAACGCTTGTTTCAGGTTGTAGACAGTGGGGACTTTTTGAATTTTCTTTCTGGAATGAAGGGGTTCAGTGACTGCTTCGTTCTGCTAATCAGCCACCGTCGGTCGGAAGTCATATTTTTCAACCAATACACGAAAGTTCGTGGGTTAGGATCTATCCAGAACAGAATAGGCGTGCAGGTTTCTTGATCCTTACAAGAAGTGCAGCTGCTCTACGGTGCTTTTGGCTTTTCACCAGATTTAGCATTCGGTATGCAAGTTCAACAAACATTTTACTACTTACCTGCGGAATTCAGTAGCTAAAGGTAACCGCAATATGTTAAAACTGGGGCTTTGCACCTCATTTCCATGTAGGAAGTCGCTCGAAAAGACTTAATTAAAATATGAAACACGGAAACATTTAAGCTCTGTGCCAAATGAATGAAAATCTCCTCGTTTTCTAGCTGATGCAGATGTTGAGGCAGAAACAATATTCACGCTACAGTTGAGATAAAATGAGAAGCCTCAGTCTGACAATAGGAGTGATTGCAGTGAAATTTTTTTCATCAACGAATCAGAAACTCATGCTAAGCTCCTGTCACTAATCAATGTTACGGTAAGATTGCAGATTGCAAACTCAAGTTTGCAAGTGAACCTTACAAAAGCCTATTCTTATTTTTGCTGCCCAAATTCGGTGTTTTCCGTGAAGACAACTAAAAACTGGTGAGAAATTTATGTTGATATTGGGAGTATCAGTCTGGTTCTGGTACAGATGTAGAACTAACAACCGATACACAAAAGATTAAAAGCTTTCCGTGTACATTTTGAACTGACTTTTTGTAAATTTTTGTTGAAAAACGGAACACCATTTTGGAGAAACATACTGGACGAAGTTGACCTTATTGAAGGAAAACAAATAATAAAAGGTACCCTGTATACAATCCTGAACTTATGAAAGTCAGAAGAGTCAGAGTTATGGAAAATTGTTGTTGTTTTCAAGAAGTGCTAGTTTTCATTTAGGATGGAACTGATAATCGATTACTGAGATGCCCTTACGCCAACTTCCTCGACAAAACGACAAATAGAAACATGAATGAATGTGTGAAAAGGTAAAGTTGATTATTTTTTTATAGCGTGCAAATAGATTTCACCAGTGTTCCGTTTAACTATTGAACGAATGTTGGTGAGCAGGCATTTTCGAATAGTTCACAACTTTTTGTAGGATATGCTTTTGCTTTCAAATAGGTTAATCAGACCCTTAACATGTGCATACCAGAAGAGACTTGACAGTTTTGATCAATGAACAATTTCTTCCTCCAATAAAGCCAGCTTCTTGAAGCAAACCAAACACATCGAGCAGATTTAGCAAATTCCATCGCCCGGTATTCCTTTCCACTTTCGTGTCTTCATCCCTATTATTTTAAGGAATATATTCCGCTCCGTGAATATAACTTGGATGGGTGCCCTGGCCAAATTCATTGAGTTCCTGAAAACATATAAACATTTTGGTTGAGTGCAATAACATGCAACAATTGTGATGGCATTATTGATCCTAACACCTAAAACGTTTCCAGTCCCGGCTTTAGATGATGACTCACAACATGGGTAATCTGTATCTTGCGTTACTTTTATCACTCAAATTCTTGCCATAGTTTAGCAAAAAAGAATTTTTTTCATGAAACCTTAGTTTTGAAATAGTTTATAAAGTATGGTATGGAGTCAAGCTTTTGAATCACGCAAAATGCCGAATATGTGAGTTGGACTGTATGAATGTGGCTGTATCTTTTGAATGCTTCAGATGGGCGAAGGGAGGGGAACGATTTTTACGCCTTTTGACCACAGTAAAGGTATTAGCTTTAGCAAACAGCCTCCAGTACACGTGTGGGTAGTGGGAACCCAGGTGCAGAGGAAAGATCACTTAGCAGTGTTGATCGACCGGAAATGAGGACACCATACAACTTATTCCTCAAAAAAATTTAGTCATTTTCTCTTTGTATGACCCAGAAAGAGAATTTATGACCAATCTCTAGTAGGTGGCTTGTCGTATTTGGGTTAATGTGAGAAGGGGTCGTTGTCTGTTTTCTTGAACTACGTGTAATATGCATCAGTTGTGAGTGCAAGGTAGAAGCGGTTTGGTGATAGAATCTAAACTTTGGTTCAACTTGCATGGCAGCGTGACTGCTTGAGGTCGATTACAATACAGGCGAAAAAAACTGGGCTTATGGACGAACAATGTTTAGGAAACTGCAAATTACACGTTTTCAGCATAGTGAAGTTAGCTGTGTCTGTTGAAGTGTTGTTAGAATCCGAAAAGTTCACGAGTGTCGAGAAAAAGTTCACACGAGTGCCGTCGCCTGTGTTGATATTCATCAGCTGAGCATAAGTAGACCTGACTTCGCTTTCACAATGCAGTACTTGTTAATGCTGTTCCTGTAACTTTTGTGATGAGCAGGCTTCTGTAGTGTTTGCCTTGTCTCCGTCAGAGGTTCACTCCATAGCTGGTTGTGATTGGGTTCCTAGGATCTGCAAAAGGAACGGAGGCCATCCGTGGAAAACTAATTCTGAAATAGCTTGAGGTGCGTTCCTTCGGAAACGAATAGCTCACACCCTTTTGCTGGTCCAGCACGAGGCATTTTTTAAGCGGATACCTTGATGGCATGTTATGGAGAAAGCGAAGCGACGTCAAAACATCGTCGGTAGATACTTCACTGTTCCATGGAATGCGATAGTACCAGAATTATTTGGAAATCATTGAATGCACCATTCCTCACGTTCACGGAGACCGGACTTAATTGCTAGCAAACAAAACTAGGACTCTGAGAAAATTCTCACCCTGTTTGTATCAAGATTCGAGGGCTAAAACCTTCGTTAGGTGAAGAGTGGAAGCAACCAACGTTCGTCAGCTTGTTTGATTAAGATGCTAGAGTGCTGTCTGTGTGAGTTGTGTACCTACAAGACAGTATACTGCTATGTGACGAATGTCATAAGCGAAACATCAAGTGGCCTTCGTGCAGCACAATCAGTTGGAGAATATCATAATCGAGATATTCAGCTAAGTTCCTCTTTAAGAAAACTGGTTTGCAAATAATTTAGTCCTACATGCAACGTTTAAGCGAACAGCCGGAATTCCCCAGACCAATGGTCCTTTCATCGGTAACACGTGATGGAATCTAATTTTCGAAAGATAGAAATGAGTTTAATTGCTCCACCAAGGCAACTGGAGAATCCCATCAAAGCACTGTTGAAAGCGATAGGAATAACTGAAAGCACGGAATCCTCTAGTTTTTGTTGCCAACCTAGGACTGCAAGACTGAAGTCGCAGGCCGAAGAAACAGATGTTGAATGCTACAAAAAAGCATGCAGCTATTGGCCAGAGTACAATATTATCTCTGCCAACTTCATGGCATATCTTAGTTCAGTCACTGTGCGAGGCAAATTTAGGGCCAGATGTCCTTGTTTTGCTGTACCCTGAAGGCTACACCCAAAATGAGACACGTAATTGATCAGGGTTTGGGAACAAGTGGACAAGCAAACGTCATCTCTCTGTCAGGCCGACTAAGATTTGTCTTGGGGACACCAGCAATCACCGGAAGTAAACCTTGGCTGTCACGACGGACAGAGCTAATCATGTGGTGTATCAACAGAAAAAAGTTCGTAAATGGTCAGGAGTGTTGATTAGTGGCGGTACCTATATGAACCCAAGTGTAGTCCAACAAGGAAAACGGAAGCCCAACATATACACTCATTTGCATACAAATTTTTTCTCATAGGAGACTCACCTAAATCGCAGTTGAATAACACGTTTGTGATATTCCTCAACTAAATGTGTTTCACAAGTCACCTCATGCATCAGTTGATACGATGTTCGAGAAACTGTAGCATATTTAACGAAGAAAACTACTCATGTGAGTTTTCGGTAACCTTATAAAGAGTCTCCCGCATAAAAACTTAGTTTATTGAAGCTATGGCATTATTAAGTTGCAGATTGTTTAAGCTAACATTTACATAGTTTAGTTCTGATGTAAAGCAACTGCCAGCATGGTTGATATTTCAAAATATGGAGTAGACCACAAAGAACATTGCGTAACGTAATCTCATACCTGGAAAGTTAATAGGTAATTTGAACAGTATTGCTCTTTGCTGTGTAATTCATTGCGTTTCTGAAAGATACTAACGAGAAGTGTATTCCCCTGTAGAGCTGAACTGATTTGAGTTTGTTGTAGTAAACTAGACCTAGCGCAAGTTATTATGACCCTAAAGGATCCAAAATTTCTGCTTACAAATGTGTCGAAGGTAAGTGATGTGGATTTCACCGTTTCGTATTGTAGAAGAACCGTCCTGGCGAAAGAAATAAGAAATTCTGTATTCCTTCCAACCCCTTCAAACGGAAAAATTATGCCACGCAAAGAGACACTGTTGTTAACCGTTTTGATGGTCATTCATATGCATTCCGTTATGCAGAATGCCCCAAACTTAAATATAAAATACATTTTTTGTTATTGTACCGTTTCATTTACAGACAGTGATCAACAAAATGCTGGTCCAGTGCAAATGTCACGGAGTCAGTGGATCGTGTGAAATGCGTACATGTTGGCGAACGTTGCCAAACTTTCGTGAATTAGGTAATCATTTACAAGAACGGTTTCACAAGGCGATTCTGGTGGACTACGTCAATCAGCAACTAGTTCCAGTTCCAAACCCGGCGGACCAATCACAGTCTCTGCTTTCTCAACAGGTTTCTGTCCGCTTCAAGCGCAGTCCAAGGTCACCATCGGGTGTTTATACGTCCGAAAAGCTACCGACGTTGACAGAGAATGATTTACTCTATATCAATCCATCACCAAATTTTTGCCATCATGATCCTGGTTTTGGGAGCATTGGGACATACGGACGTCGTTGTGAGGAGGGAGGGACAGGTTTGAATAGTTGTGAGTATCTATGTTGTGGGCGTGGTTTCAAAAGAGAAACCTTCGTGCAAGAAGAACGTTGTAACTGCAAATTCCAATGGTGTTGCAACGTGACGTGCCAGACGTGTCGCAAAACAGTGGTTGTTTCAAAGTGTAACTAACGCAGGAGACTTTGTCTTCCGTTCGCCATACTGGGGCATTCGTGAATGTTTAAGGTTAAGCGCAGTTTTCTGATTATACAAGCTTGCTGATTGCCCATTTATTGTACAAAATATTTCGTTTCTCCATCGTGTCGTTGTCTTCTAATCAGACCGTTTTGAGACTGAAGTTCAAAATTATTGGATTATTCGCCTAGGTCCCCGCAACTTTTACATGGTTCTATACTGACCTATTGACGATATCACCTTTGGGAATCTCTATTTCATAACTTTTGATCTGATAAACATTGGATTTCTTCCGCTTTCTGTATCTACCGATACCGGGTGTCTAACACTGCATCATGGCTCGCCTAAGGGCAGTAGAGTTTGCGTGATGAACACTTCGTATGCAGAGGAGAATGTCGGTAGCTCAGGTAGCGTAGATGGTCGTTGGCTTGTTCGCTGAGCTGGGCAGTTTGATTGCAAACGTTTCATCATCACCAATCCAAGTGACAACATCGGTGCGTCATTGGGGAACGGTGGGTTAGTGGTTGTGATACCGCTGCGCACAACTACACACTGATGATGTCACCTCGATTGGTGATGAAACGTTTTCAGTCAAATTGCCCAGCTCAGCGAACAAGCCAGCGACCAACTTCGCATGCAGTTATAGCCGAATTGCCTTCTTCTAACGTGCACGACTCGTATTGAATAGTTCTGATAAAAAGCATGTGAAATAGCGTGAAAACTTAGCAACCCAGTAAACCTTCAAATGTTCCTGTTCAAAAGCTGAGTTGCCAGGGAATGAAATTCTGAAAAATTATAGAACCGTCGCAAAGCTCCACTCAGGAACACTAACCAAGAATTTTCCGTACTACCTGCTTTGATCATCCAGCGCCTTTGTGGTCGGTTTCCAAGCAAATTAACAGAAACTAAGCTTCGAATGAGGGTTGGCAATTTTCAGTAACTCCTTACTCACTAGTGAATCTGCAGTAACGAATTTGGTAGGAATTACCTGCTCAGAACCACAAATTAACAGGTAACATTAAATAGCATAGTGAATGATTACTCAAGCGTGTGGTTTGTGCATTCGGGGTAAAATGAGATGTTCTATTGGAAGAAAGCAACTCGGTACAGTTTTAAACAAATAATGAAGCAGTGGATCTTAGAAACTCAGTAATTCGCGAAGCTAAGCACATTATGGAAGCACGGAGGCATATGGCTCTTATGCATTGCTCCGTACCCTGGCAGAATGAACGTCTAAACCGATTTCTTAAACAAGTTCGGTGGTGTAAAAATTCACTTGAAATTGAGCGGCCTATTTCGCACCACAATATACTCATATCATTCTGCCAAATGTCGTAAGCTTTCTCTCTTTTGGAGAACTTTTCCAATATTATATGGAAATCTTTGCAGTAGAATTAGGTTTAGTGTGAAGATTTACGACTTGGAAGCCAGAATAATCAGCAAGGTCATTAGCACACAAGTCAAGCACTTGGGTGATAATTTGTTGATAAAAATACTAAATTTCTACCGCCGCACAGAGTGGGGGATGCTGTGTGCTTTCCCAAATACTAGCCAACCACAAACAGAACGAACACCTTAGGTCTAAAGGCAAAGGAGCGAAATCGAAATGGCCAATCTAACTTCATTCTAAAGTTTTATCGAATTGTGAGATTTGGTCATTTCCAAAGGATATTTTTTCATTCCAGTGATGCCTATCTGCGCAGACTAGCCTAAGTGCAATGCACAATTGTTTCATCCTTATGGAAAATTATCCGCAGTGCACATCTGTGGAGACACAGCGTTTAAAATCTGTGACCTTCTGTCCGGTGTTTCACCACTGGCTCCAAGGTGCAAACATATCTCAAGACGAAACTTCCAGCTCAGAAGCAATCATTCGGAAAGCTTGTAAATACGTGACTTTCTGATGTGGTCCCTGTGATTGGACGATGAGCAGCCTCATATCCTGCCCAAATGACATCTATTCAGTGTTTTTAAGCCGCCAAGCAATGGCCTGATAGTCGCTGGTTTTAAACTCCCACTTTGGTAGGGTGAGACCTCCTGATAATTCCCAATAAGGCTGCAACAGCTGCACAGTATACCTAGGTTTCTTAGCATTCATCGCCTTCAATAGCAAACAGAATCTCAGTTGAAGTTTCTAAGGTAATTGATTGCGCACCATATTAGTGAGATTCTTGAATCCCTTGTTTAAAGGTTCGAATCCGAGCATGAGCAGTGTCAACAAATTTTAGTAACGACTAAATCACCATCGCTTATCTCCCTCACGATGATTTGGTGAAACGCAGAAAAAATTGCTTCTAACTCCTTCTGTCCTAGCGAATTCGTTGTTGCATGCCAAAAGTGGAGCAAATTCTATCTGCCCATTGCCGAATGGACAAGGGTGAACTAAATGTTTCTTTGAAAAGTCCAGACCAGACAACCGAACCATCCGGCCGACAAGAAATCCAGATTGTAGCGGATTTTTCAATAAAATGATAACAACGAAACAAGTTTTTATCTGGGAATGAAGTGCATATATTCAATGAAAAAATCCTGGAATAACGGAGGGCAAATTTCGAACGTGGAATACTGGGGAGCATTCCGGACCCAACACGACTGGGCATAATCTGAAGTAAAACAAAAAAAACATGTTCCTCAATAAAACTTCAAATTTACACACAGTAAAAATGAATTAATTGAATTTCCAATGAACAGACCATCCACCTTAGCCGAATTAATAGCTAATCAGGTTCACTTTATTTTTGCCAAAACATAGCAGGTGATGATTTAAACGATATTAGAATTGCACAAACCAAATGATCCACAGTCTTCTTAAAGTAACTGTGGCACCATAGTTCCATGTATCACTGAGATTAGTTCACACCATCTTTCAGCCTCTACTCCAGAGGACTTCCAGCTGACCATATGGGACATTGAGTTAAGTGCAACTGCACCACCTCGAAAATAGGATGATATGATTACCTCACTTCCATAAAGTGTTGCCTTCTGGTGTTCACATTTTTGGTATGCGTAAAAACCAATGAGAATGTGAGCATGTTTTCCAGCCCTTTGGACTGTGTGACTAAATTGTCACTAAAGAGTAAAACTTCGCATCGAAGCCGGCTTTGTTCTGCATCACTCTACCCTTGTTTAGTTTCTGCTCGTCTCGCTCCCGCTGCTGCCAAATTTGTGCGTTCGTCTTGCCCCCTTCCATCGAACAAAGGTCACTTCCGGGAAGAAGTCTACCTGATCCTAATTCGGAGAGAGTTTCCCTGATAGAGAGTAGCATATGTAGATGAAATCTCGATAGTAATGCAATAGCGCACTAATACTAGAAATCTAATATTTTTTAATCCCTGCGAGGGCAACCCTTATAGTCCACCGACATTATCAAATTACGGGTTTGGAAACCACCGCTGTACAGCCGCACATCAAAAGAAGAGCTTACTAAGGTGGCGTGTAATTATTACGATGAAGTTGTTTAACATATGTGTATGGCCGAATGCAGGCTGTAAGATTGGGTACATACTTCAAACACAAAGTGGTACACAGCAGCACCATGGCTGGTCTATATGATTGCAAGAATTTCTTGCAAAGTAGGAAGTGCAATCAAAGACCTCCAAAACATAAGGTACACAATCCCGCTGTTGTGGTTATTATCATGCATTCAGACCAACTATACAAATGCCACATTTTGCGTTTTCCGAGAACATTTCTTGTGTGACCGACGAGATGTGCCACACTTCGTTGAGCCAGATACTGGCTACTCTAAGTCATTCTACATCAATCAGTTGCATATATCATCCAGCTCTAGGGCCCGGAAACCACTGACGGCAATATCTTGCGGAAAGCTGTTCCTACTGAAAGCGTCACAACTGGAAACAGGTATACTTACCCTAAGGCAAACGGACTTTTATAATTGGTGGTTTCCGTCGAAATGAACCTATTTGTATTCAGGCAATCTAAAGTTGTCTTAGGTATGTGATCTCATTCTGCATGATTGATGGATGATGGCCCTTGTGATCACGTATTGCATCTTTGAATGACATCGTTGTTTAAAGATTTGTATAACGGCACACTTCAGAGACTGTGTTCAATTTTTGTGAATCCGACTGGCCCACCCTCATGAGGGACCAATCACCAAAATAAAACACTTTTTCTTTAATAGAACCTACTTCATACCTATTTCATGTCCAAGGAATGAACTTTTATTCATAACTACCGTCACATGTTCTACCCATAGAAAAACAAGTGTACGTGCGACAAACCTGATCAAACTTGTTCTTCAAAACCAAGTTTACCTTCTTCCGCCAAAAATAATAATACCAGTCGTCTAATTCCTGGTCAACAGGTTAACCGGTATGGTTTTTCTGTCACTCTTAGAAGCGCAACTTACCCACTTCTCGAAGATAAGTGGTTCGTTCTGAATACCAAGGAGAATTTCCACGGAGATAGCATGCGGTGGTGAACTGTAATAAATGGGAGTGTGAACCTCATATAAGTTAGCGCGTGTTTTGTCGAAAAACCTGACGGTTTAATTACGTACGTCAAACATATATTACATACAAATGGAGCTGAAGACATCTCAGTGGTTAGGACGCAGACTTACTAACCGAAAGATCTGTAGTTTGAACCCAACTTCAGAAATTCGACTGCTCGTGTTCAAATTGGACAACCTAGCAATATCTTTGGCATCGCGCTTCCTTTGGGTGGCACGACAGATCGGCACTGAAAGATCACACGAAGCTGATAAGCACACTAAAAGGGTCCTTCAAAAAGGCCTATTGAGAACAGGCATATGGAAATGTGCGTCCATCCATGTAGACTTGCCTTAATCGAGACCATTTTAATGGAACTTTTATAGTGGCGTCTTCGGAGTAAGCAGGTATGCTTGATGTATTTCTTTTCGACGGACATCACGAGAGACTCAAGTGATCATTTTGTGTAAGTTGTCCGTTCTAGGAGGGATACAGCCATTAGAACATGGAAGTATGCTTCCAACTAGGTGGCGGTTTGCACACGATGTAAATTTGTGTTAGTCGTGTGCTATGCAGGTATAAATACTTTCATGAAAACCTTAATCACTTCGGAAAAAGACTTTTCTGTCCATGTTATTGCACAAATGCCTAGTTGGATAGAATTCAAGAAGGCCCAGTGCGTTAATAGGCCACTCCGCTCTTTATATGTAAGGGGTTTTGCGCCACGGTGACACTTAGAATGGCTCTGTTTCTCAACGATATCAACCGCGTGCCACACCTCACGGAACTGAA